ACAACCACGAAAAAATATTCAAAAACCACTATTTTTTTCATCACCCTCTAATTCGAAATTATTACCGTCGATGTAAGATTTTTTTCCACCAATATACTCAGTATGGATATTTCAATCAAATTGGGAATTTTCAGACCCATGCTATGACTAGTTTTTTTTATACATCGAATAATGTGAAAATAATTATGGAAAAGTAATTACATAATAACACGAAAAATTGCTCCGAATCGCAAAACTAGTAGTCACTAGTCAACTATGTCAAAAAATGTGATTTGTTCGTAAACAAAATCTAGTGGTCTTATTATAGGTCCGCTAGCAAAACATCTCGAAAATGTTTTTCAGAAAACATCAAACAAATCACAATATGCCCCCGAAAAAATCTCATCAACGACACAACTATTCTACGCACCCCTTTCATCAACTTTCAACTCATCAACGATCCCACTCATAAACGTGCTAAAACTCATGAGCGTTCGAAGTCGACAGCGGTTTTTCCCAACTCAATCCTATGACTACTTTTCGAAAAAAGTATGAAACTAAACTTCCGCAAACGCCTAGTAAGAGGTGCGCGTTAATATATTTTGCAACTCTCCTATATCCAACCAACTTCCAATCTTTTGACCATACTGTATATTGTTAGAATCGAAGTTAGTATATGCACATCGCAAAGACACTAAAGTTGGAGTTTTGGTTATGTAGATATTCGTTACCGGGTTCAGTATAGGCCTGAAAGAAAAATGTCAATTAAGAATTTCAATCACAGATTTTGAAAAAATAGACAAACCAACTCGTTTCCCCACCACCTGAGAGGTAGAGTTTCAGGCGCGTTTTTTTTATTGTGGTATCCCCTGTAGGCCTAGTCCACGTTAGAAAGTGAAAGTTCCAATACCTATAATATGATTGTGTGTAGGCAGGATTGGCGCAGTGGACGAGCACCCGAGTCAGGACTGCGGGGTCGTGGGTTCGATTCCCAGACAGCGCAAGGAATTTTTCGAATATTAATATACGAATTAAATATTGTGAAGTTTCGGAGCATCGGCTGGGGATAGTCCTGCACGATTCACTGTTGCGTGCCTACATACAATATAGATACATGTTCAGAACACTATGGGCTAAAGGACCTCATTAGGGATCGATGGTTGGTTGGTATGTATGTACATACCTACCAACGAAGGACATATACTACTACTACTACTATAATTATGTTTCACAAGGAACACAGAAATCAACTAATCGCCAGATTCAAATCAGTTCCGGACCGATGTTCATATTTTCAGGATTCAATCGATTTGCAGCATCGTCGATACAATTCAAAAGGCGATCAGATGGAAAGGTAATATTTCCTTGGTTTCTTGCGTATCCAAGGAACCATACCACACTGGCTACGTGTGCACACGTCCCTAATGTTCTAGCACCGGACCTACAAGTACAGTAGTACCCTAAAATGGGCGGATCTTGTAAATTATTATCATCGATTTCTCTGAATACTAACCACAGCATATGTTTAGTGGCATTTCTGAACCGAGAAAATACTCGAAATCTTAAAAAATTGGGTTCCTCAATGAGTTCGTCAATATCGAGTGTATTTTGTTCCCCTCCATCTCTTTGTATCGTGTCTTGTATGTAGGAGGCAGCTAAGTGAATGTGATATGACCCTGTGAGTGTTTTCAAATATTCTAAGTCAAGTCGAGGAAACGTCGGTACATGTCTATGGTTCAAACGAAACCATCGACCATTTCTTGTACGGAGGTTTTCAGCCTCAACTCGGGCCTGAACAATGTTGACTTCTTCGATATCATGCAACATTTGTGTAGCTAATTCCAATGTGCCCGGCATCCTTATTGGAGGATGGTATTTGTTTATTAGGGCGCCAGCAATCAAATAGAATTCGCGTAATTTTGCAACATGTGTTATTGATATCGCTCCTCGGAAAAATTTGAAAATCGATTTGAAATGCCCATTTCTAGCCTCTACAATCCATCTGGTGCTAGTAATTAAGCGTGCCCTATTAGTTTCGATTGTTGTGAGTTGTCTTTGGTTTGGTGGTAGAAATGGTGGCATATGGTAATGGAGACCAAGATCCTGTAAAAGACCAATAGAGTCCCTATAACCCCTATCGACTATCACTACATCGCCTTCTTGAAACCATGTCCTCATTCTATTTATATCATTCTGTAGCTCATGCTGCAGAATGGTGGCATCATTATTTCTAGCATCAGAAAAGTATGGACCATTAATTGCCAAGATGTAGCCATCAGGAGCGACCATAATTTCAGGCTTAACCAGGTGCTCATTTTTATGGAAGCAGTAGGATTGTCTCAATATCCGGAAATTACTACTTTTTTCTATTTTGTTATATGTACAGTCTATATACACAATTGCTTTTGGGATATTGGGAGAAGGGTTGTATAGCTGATTGGTGTATACAGACACGTGTCTATTAATATAATCGTCTCTTGTAATAGAGTCGAAACCAATATTATTAGTTACAAATCTTTGCATTAGAGATATCCTCACATTCGATATTATCAAGCTAGTTGTTTGTCTTGAAGAAAAATGAAACAAGATTTTCAAAAACTCATCTGAAACTCCATGTTTCATTTTGATTAGAAATGTCAGTAAATGTTTCTTTTTGATATGCCTTCTATTTCCCCCTTGCTCGATTGTATCACAAAATCCATAAAGTTCTTGAAAATCTTCTTTTGAAATCGACGTCAGAGCTTTGAACTCTTCTTCTGTAAAACTATCAATATCATCCCAGTTTCTAATACGTCTATTTTCATTGGCAACTGTTCTCATACACTGTAGAAATTGAAGCATATTTGATATCAAATAGGGTTTTTCTACAAACGTCAAAAAATGACAAGGTTCGCGCATTGATGACAAATTGCGAAGTGACACTTTTTTTCAGTTTCCTACGTTACCATGATACCTAGCACAAAACAATGCGCGAAGTAAAACAGTGCGCGAAGTACCTACTTCGCGCATTGTAATTTAAAATATATGAGATATTCATATTTCAACTTTATGGTCCTCGATCGAGCAAACATCCACGAAATAATTCATTTCTGAATGTTCAACAAAAACTTTGTTCTATCTCTTGGGGCGCACGAAAGGAAATTCCTATTATGTTCGTGGAACATCGTGCGTACCTTGGGAGGATAGGGGGAGGCCTTTTAAGCCAGTTCAAGACTATTTCTTATATCAAGCTAAGCATATTTCGACTTTAGAACTATATTTTTTGACGTTTGTAGAAAAAATGTTGTTTGTAACTCGAGCGCGAAATACTTTGGTCATCTCGACTATTTTTTAACTCGGCTACGCCTCGTTAAAAAAATCAGATCTCGATCACCAAAGTAGCATTTCGCGCTCTAGATACAAAAATAACTATTGTTGATAAAATTCAAACCTCCATGCAAATTATTCAAGAGAAATCCATGAGGGTCAAGATGATGACCACAAATTCTCAGAAAGTCCGGAACATAAATATTCGTTACAACAAAAATGTTCACCCTACATGCAAGAGTTATTCTCTGAACATGTTGACGAGCATTACAGATTATGCAGGCACGGCTCATTACTGGACTCAATACATTTAGGCGAAGACAGTTTGGGTTATTTTCCATCTCATTGATATCAATTATTACACTGTTATGACAATTGAAACAAACTCTGGTATCATCAAAAATGTCAATTGGAGGATTTCCAGCAGCTTGTCTTCTAAATGTTGCAATTTGCAGAAAATCAACATTATCTTCACGATTTATACGAATTGTGAGTCTAGGAATGAAATTCCCTTCGCATACATAACATCTTACCCTATTTGCAAATGCCATAATGCGCACTAAATTCACTAAACAATTACTGAAAACGACTTAAAAAACACTCAGAATAAAGATATACGCTGATATGATATTTTAAGATACTGACAACCCGAAAGTTGCTGGATGACAGACACATTTATTGATATCATGATTTTGTTTTCTAAGCCTACTGAAAAATATTCTATCTGGTTGCGATAATCCAAATTCGACTTCTACGAAGTAAAACATACTTATTAATTCGTGACAACCCAAGTTTCTAGACTAATTCGACCCCGCCGATTCCGAAAATATCAGTTGTCAACTTGAATTGGGACTAGAACTTACCCTAAAATATAATTTTATAGTTATTTGAGGATGTCTATCGATCTATTACGGTATGTATATCTTACGATATACATTACCTAATGCCACTATTTCTTCCAACAAATAGATGTTGTTGGAAAACGAGTTGGTTCATGTATTTTTTCAAAATCTATGATTGCAATTCTGAATTGATATTGAGTGGAAGAAAGAGGCTTCGAGATTGTTTCATTATTATTTTACTATATTTTTGATGTGTTGGATAAATGATGATTCCTCGGTACCTACTGATGTTCCTGTATTCCATTTTTCTTTCAAGTCTATACTGAACCCGGTAACGAATATCTACATAATCAAAACTCCAACTTTAGTGTCTTTCCGATGTGCATATACTAACTTCGATTCTAACAATATACAGTATGATCAAAAGATTGGAAGTTGGTTGGATAAAGGAGAGTTGCAAAATATATTAACGCGCACCTCTCACTAGGCGTTTGCGGAAGTTTAGTTTCATATTTTTTTCGAAAAGTATAGTCATAGGATTGAGCTGGGAAAAACCGCTGTCGACTTGGAACGCTCATGAGTTTTAGCACGTTTATATGAGTGGGATCGTTGATGAGTTGTGTCGTTGATGAGATTTTTTCGGGGGCATATTGTGATTTGTTTGATGTTTTCTGAAAAACATTTTCGAGATGTTTTGCTAGCGGACCTATAATAAGACCACTAGATTTTGTTTACGAACAAATCACATTTTTTGACATAGTTGACTAGTGACTACTAGTTTTGCGATTCGGAGCAATTTTTCGTGTTATTATGTAATTACTTTTCCATAATTATTTTCACATTATTCGATGTATAAAAAAAACTAGTCATAGCATGGGTCTGAAAATTCCCAATTTGATTGAAATATTCATACTGAGTATATTGGTGGAAAAAAATCTTACATCGACGGTAATAATTTCGAATTAGAGGGTGATGAAAAAAATAGTGGTTTTTGAATATTTTTTCGTGGTTGTCAATTTTTTCAATCGATGAATCACTCTGTATATCATGGAACTCATTGGGATACATCCTTCAAAAATATTTTGAATGTCTGGAATCAACCCGATAATACGAGGTGGCCCAATGAACTTTAGGATAGACCAATTATGCAATCAACAGCATTAATGAAACACCATGTATAATTATTATATTTTACGAATTCAATTGATGTAAGAAGAGCATACTTGGCTATAAATCTCATTTTGTAATTGTTATCAATTTGTAGCATTGATATTCAGATATTCAAAAAAACACATTATTTGAAATGAGAATCACCCTGTAATAAAAATCAGTTTTGGTCGAATACCTATATAGTTCTTGCGCCTAAGGGCATAACTATTACGTGCTCCCGAAAAATTGGAATTCATTTGTCCTATCTTAGAGATATAGGCCGAGAAAAATTAGGTATTCTTCAACTTCAACACCCTGTATCTCGTAAACTAGTCATAGGATTGAGTTGGGACTTGGCATATTCAATCAGTATGTCGAGTACTATCATTTACCAAAAATTGGGGAAATTCGACGGAACGCCATTTTTATATAGAAAAAGTGCGGGGTCCTTTGATTGAAAAAATACAATTTTACGTTTTATGTGTTGAGCAGTTTATACGAGTTCGGACACAGCTGAACTTCTGTATTTTTCTATTTTTTCATATTACAATGGCACAGATTAACAAAGGTTTGTTGATCTGTGACAATGGTTTGAGTGATTAAGGCAATTAGACATATATTCTGCTTTTTTTCTTTTCGATTTCCCTAGCAGCGCCTGATTGTTAAATACGATTTTGAAGGTAGATTTTTTGTCGCAGAACATTACAGTTATAAAAATGAAAAGAATGCATGTAACAACATTTCAATATACGAGAAAATAGACATAGCTTATAGGAACCTTCATTCTTAGCAGATGTTCATATAGCCTGTGGTACCATAAGTATATTTGATGACAAACGCTTTATTCATTGTTTCCATTTTCCACGTTTTCCTGCGTTTACTTTCCACTGATGATAAATTTTAAATTTGACAGGTTTTTAAAACGCCATTCAATGATATATCACGTTATTATCAATTGAATTTCCTCCGGTTTCGTTCTCAAATTTTCAATTTCATCAGGTAGTTTTGTAATCATGTCCTCTTTCTTCACGATGATTTTGTTTTGCATTTCGTGTGGTGAAAATAATGTTTTTTTTTCAAATAGTTTGTTTTGTGATTAGATGGAACAGCATCAGATTCTCTCAAGCGAATATTGAAATCATCTGTTAGAAAATGGGCCTGAAATATAGTTTCATTCTAATCTGCTGTCATGAAAAGTGAATTTCAATGTATGTACTTCAAAAATTCTGCTTATCTTCGAGAGAATTTTCCATCCAGGTCGTTTCATGCATTACTTCCATAAAAGAATGATGGTTAATATTTCTTTTGGAAAATTAAATAAATGACATCCATTTGAAGCTTTCATTGGTTTGGTTAATGACATTTTTAGGCAAAACTTGACAAAAACAAAAAATAAATAAAAATATCACATCACCTCTGTAGGTATATATCAGCAACGCATATACATGAGATTCTCGTCTTGAAAAAATATCTTCTTTCAAGCTGTTGAAGTTATCACATGTTTTTTACAGGACTCTGAAGCATATCGAGTCACCAGAATCGAAACTATGGAGGCCTGTTTAGAATTGCTGAGTAGTTTATCTTCAGGGAAACTGTCGCCTCTAGCTACGATCCTCAAACATGGAGCTGTCCTCTTGGTGGGAGCGCAAGATGAGAAGATTAAAAAAGCAGCGGAAGATTTACTGCAGAGGATGAATATTTCCTATATCGATCATGATGACTACTAAATTTGCAATTTTCGAGAAAATATAAAAACTACGCAACACCTATTTCGTCGCCCCCGTTAAAAAATTACTAACTATTTTCATTTGAATTCGGATCACACTGTTCGCTAGCCGAGTCCTTCAGCTATAATCTCGTACTTCTTTAAAACATGAGGTTCTTCATACAGGGTGAGTCATGAGGAACTGTACATACTCCTACCACCCTTGAAGGGAACACCTGATGACCATCATGAAGTATCTTCTTTTCCTCTTTACCAATATGTAGGGTGAATTATGACATTTGGCAAAAACATCGTTTGGGCATAACTTTCCAACAGCTTCTTCGATTCATCTGATTTATTCATGGAATATTCCTTTACTAAACAGAATCAGGAAAATCCAGGACCGTTTTCGAAAAATTCCGATAGTTCAGTTTTTATCAACAAGTTCATCCTGTGTAAGGTTTTTGTGAACTGTGACAGGGAATTTCCAAGGCACACAAAATAGCATCAAATATAAAATATTCAAAATCCTCCTCACACTTTCACAGACATTTTCAAAAAACGATAAATTATAAGCAAAAACGGAAGTTTGATAACAAATTTATTCATTCGAAAATAATTACTCTGCAACGCATAAATTTCACAAATAAAAGTGAGAAGCACATTTTCAATGCTCTAGCCCAATGGAAATCAACATGTTCTTGCATTTCCAGTCCAGGATTTCGTCATTTCATTTTTTGTGGTGGGTAATAATCACCATGTAGATCTTCTTCAGATCAGTGGATGGGTTATTTGTTTAGATGTTAATTTTCATTGATTCAAATAATTCAAGATAATCGAACAGACAAAATGAAGGTCCTTTCACAATTATTTTCCAAAAACTATACTGACCATATATACTGACAAAGGCGGATAATGATTCTAGTACGGAAAATAAGTGAACAATAATGAAACAACAACAAAAAAATTACCTGAATAAAACAAATCCAATTGATAAAACTGTAAATTGAGATCATTCACTGATTCGAGGAAGATCTACGGGGTGATTATTATATCCTCCACAAAAATATTCAATTACTAAATCCAGGCCTGAAAATGAAATGATATGTTAATTTTCATAGAGCTGAAGCATTGAAAATGTGAGTCTCACTTTAATTCGTGAAATTTATGGGTTGCGAAGTATTAGTTTCCAAATAATAGTATATTATGTAACAAGTGTTATAAACGTCCTTTTAGTGGCGAGTATTTTAAAGCACGAGCGAAGCAGAGCGGAGCGAGTGTTTAATAAACGAGTGTTCTGGAAGAGTTTATAAACGCGTTACATACTATGCTTTTTCTACGAACTCCGAAAATTACATTAACATACCTGCTTTTCCTGCTAACCTACAAAATAATTCGAAAGGAATGGCAATTAAGAACATAATACAACCAGCGAGACACCTATAAATGATATTGGTTGTAGATGTGTCCAGTCCATTGCTCACTAACCTCTGTTTATTGTCATGCTGAGCGCAGAATGAATACATTTTTCTCAAAGATGGATGCTTCATTTTTACACTTCTTGGAGATATGCAAGTACCAGAACATTCTATTCGATTTCCCTTTCGTCTACATTTCGCATAATTATATTTTCAATGAGAATTCTGATACAAACGAATATTGTTTGAATAATTCTGATACAAAATTTGAAAATAACAGTTGACAGTTAATACAATTGACAAGCCAGACATGTCTCAAATTACTGAAGCTGTGTTTAATGACCTGCGTTGCCATGGTAATGTGCTTAAGAAACCGTGTTGCCATGGTAACGTGTTTAATATTTTGAATAAATCACAGATCGTCAATCCGTGATTAATCGATCACTTAGCGTGGTACAACATATATCCGTACGCTAAATGCCATTTTAGTTATGTGAGTAGAAAAAATCATTTTTAGCGATGGCCATCAAAATGTTCACAGACACCCTATCCACTGCTTCGAAAAAGATCTACAGGGTGATTATTATATCCCTCACAAAAATATTCAATTACGAAATCCAGAGGCCTGAAAATGAAATAATATGTTGATTTTCTTAGAGCTGAAGCATTGAAAATGTAAGTCTCACTTTTATTTGTGAAATTCATGGGTTGCGAAGTATTAATATCCAAATAAATAAATTTTTTGCCAAATTTTCATTTTTTCATAAAATTCATATTTGTTTTTCAGACTGCAGTGAAAGTGTGAAGAAAATTTGGAATATCTTATTTCTGATGCTCGTGTGTGACCACTGTGACCTTTGAAAATTTCTTATCACAGTACAAAAACGATATACAGGATGATCTTTTTGCTATAAACTGAACTATCAAAATTTTTCAAGAACGGTCCTGGATTTTTTCGATTCTGAATAAGTCAGTCGATTAGAAAGTAGTAGCGGAATATTCCATGAATAAATTAGACGAATCGAAGGAGCAGTTGAGAAGTTATGAACAAAAAATGTTTTTGCCGAATCTCATAATTAACCCTATATATTGGAAAAGAAGTGGAGAAGACACTTTCTGATGGACATTCGGTATTCCCCTCAGAGGCCTCTATTCGTGATAGGACTATGTACAGTTCCTCATGACACACCCTGTATAAACTCGCTTCAGGGTGTCACCTGAAACAGTGAAAAATTTCGAAATTTTCAAAAAGATCCCAAAGAAACAAAAACTTTTTTTTCAACTTTGACGGCAGATCCATGAAGATGATCTCATTGGAAAATTTTTCAAATTTGCTTCTTATCTCTTCTATTTACAGAGTTATCTAAAAAAAATGACTTCTTGATGTTTTTCCTTGTTAACCGATTTTTTCAAATCTCAGGCTCATTTTGAAGCTGAAAGATAAACATTATACAGTGTGTCTCACTTCTAATGGGAGCACCCCTTATTCATCTTTCGTAATTGTTGAGTTATTATTCTGAAATTTGCAGGAGCGGTAGATATACTGAAAATACACAATATGGTCAAGTGGAGTCATCTCCAGTGATATACACTGCTCGCCGACAGCCATGGAACCTTGAAAATTTAATTGCTCTAAATCTAAAATAGAAATGATTTGAATCATTTCTATGCGCGTTCTACATTGCAAAAACATGAAGCTATAATCAGTGTAGGAGGTGAAAATTTATCTGAAGGAAGCTTCCCTATTTTCTTGTTCTCAATTCCTACTTTCTCAGCATCACTCTCATATTTTCATTGTACAATTATTTCAGAGTGTATATACAGTCTGTCCAAGATAAGGTTGAACAGTATGGAGATCTCAGAAACGGTAGGAGATGCGAAGTCGTTCAAAAGGGGAAAAAGTTGCGCATTTGGAAGCTCATATCAGGAGCCTTCAAAAATTTCGAAAATTATTTTTAGTTTTTGAGTTATATCGAAAAAAGTGAATTTTTGGAATATATATATTTTTTTCTCCGTTATTATTAGAGATACAGCAAAACTGAGAATACTTTTCCATAGCCACTTTCGATAACGTTCAACGTGGTGATACCATTTTTTTTGTGCAACGTTTCGTATTTGTGGAACCATCATCAACTTTTGTTTTTTGAACGCGGTCTTGATAATTTTTTCTCAGATTCTAGAAGGTTTTCTTATTCTGAATTTAAATATATATTATACAAGGTGGTTCATGTGTGTTTCGACCTACTTTTAGCAATCATCAATATTTTTTCGAAATTACAAAGGAAAAATGCCATCAGTTCCACTTATTTTGAAGGAAAATTAGTCAACACACTAATACCTCATCAACTGGTTTCAATCAACAACCCATTTCATTTTGCGGAAACAAAAATTCCATCTATACAAATTCAGAATATGTCAAGCGCTAAAACCAGGCGATGACGAAAGGCGCAGGACATTCTGTGAGTGGTATACCAGGAAATGTCAAAATGTTGCAGATTTCCCTTGAACAATCATCTGGACTGATGAAAGCATGGTCACTAATCATGGTATCTTCGATAGAAAACGTACACATTATTGTTCACGAGAAAATGATCATTTATACATTACAGCGAGACACCAACACCGTTTCGGCTTTAATATGTGGGTTGCAATATATTTGGTACACGAATTATTGGTCCTTCCATTTTCTATGAAACACAGACTTCCGAACGTTATAGAAATTTGCTTGAGAATCATCTTGAGGAATTTCTGGATTATTTACCGATTGCGGAAGTTCAGAACTGTTGGTTTCAACAAGATGGCGCTCCGGTACATAATTCCAGAGAAGTCTGTGCGTTTTTATCCAGAAAAATGGATTGGTACTCATTCTACAGTCCCTTGGCCGGCGCGGCCGTCGATTTGATACAGCTGGATTTTTTCTTAGGGGGTACCTATATCAAATTTTGAATACGCAAATAACTTTGATGATGAAGAAGAACTAAGGGACAGTGTCTTCGAAGCATTCAATAGAATTACCCCAGAAATGCTCAGCAATGTCTTAAAAGCAACTGTGAGAAGAGGATATCTTTGTTCAGAAAATAATGGTTATCATTTTGAACATTTGTTATATTGTACCTGTAGGTATTGTCAAAATTAAGTTATTTAAGTAATTCGTGTAAGAATGATGTAGTGAAATATTTTTTATTCACTTTTCAGTATTGAATAACTAATCCATCGAGTTTTACACTAAATGATCAGAAATAAGTGGAACTGATGGCTTTTTTCCTTTGGAAGTTCGAAAATACATTGATGATGGATAGAAATAGGTCGAAACACATTCGAATCACCTTGTATAATACATGGTTGAATTCAAAATGAAAAAACCTTTCAGAATCTGTGGAAAAATTATCAGGACCGTATTCAAAAAACAAAAGTTGATGATGGTTCTACGAATACGAAACGTCGCATAAAAAATCGGTATCACCGCGTGGAACGTCATCATAAGTTGCTATGAAAAAGTATTTCCAGTTTTTTTGTATCTCTAATGATAACGGAGAAAAAAAATAAAATATATATTTCAAAAATTCACTTTTTCCGATATAATTCAAAAACTAGAAATAATTTTCAAAATTTTCGAAGGCTCTTGATATGAGCCTCCGAATGCGCAACTTTTTTCCTTTTAAAACGACTAC